GGGCTAGATATTTGCGCTTGAGGCCTTGCATTGGTGTGTCCCGGTAAACCTTAAATAAAACCTTCATGACTTCCCGAGTGATCGTTTTCTTTTACACTCGCGATGAGCTTAAACACTCGATTGAACTTGCCATTAGGTGAACGCATTTAAGCGCGTCATTTGGTCGTTCTATTGTCACGGTCGTTGCTCCATCGACGCATTGTCGTCGTTGTGCTACTTTGAACGCATCTAATTGTTGGAGATGTTGTTTTTTTAGCCCCCAACGCCAATGCCGCAGCACTACAACGTGGGGCTAGGTGGAGGGGTTCACGGCTTGTCCCTACCGAGTGCCGCCAGTTTGCAGCAGCCACCGCCATCCCCACTGCCCCCACACACAGTGGGTGCTTCCACTGGCGACGTAGAACGTCAGAAGCTTCGAGAAACTCTCGCCAAGAGGATGAACCAAAAGAAGATAGCTGCTGCAGCACAACAGCACCAGCAGCAGCGGCAGCAGCAGTCCGTGTCCGGTACACCCCCAACTACCTCGTATCAGCAGCACTCGTTGCCGCCACTCCCTCAACAAACCTCACCGCACGCTGCACAACCACAGCCAAATGTACGAAACCCTACGCTAACGTATTCTCACTAGTGATGAGCTGTGCTGTGGTCTAGTGCTTGCTGAAGACTCTCGGTCTAAAAGTGGTTTCGTTCGATTACGCCCGACGGTTTGCATCTCACTCGTTTCTATTGCATCACACTAGGTTGCAATCCAGATGTGCATTTGATATGATCAGCTTCGAGTCTGACTTACTTGCAGGTACCAAAGCAGCAAATGTTACAGCAGCAGCAGCAGCAAACTCAGCCTCCGCCGTCATATTCGCCATATACGCCTTCACCTTGCATCAGCGACAGCCAACGCGTGCCTCGCAGCCCTCTGCTCCGCCGATCTTCCTATCAGGCTCTTCAAGCCGCAGTGGCGGCGGCGTCGGTGGTGATGGTGTTGGTGGTGGTAGTGCCTGGATCTCAGGCTCTCCGCAGCAGCATTCTGTGTCGTCCTCTTGCATAAAAAGCTCCGCACGCAGTTTGCCTTCCTTCGAGTCATGTTTTGGCATGCTTTCTGCCTCTCGCCGCAGCACCTCGGTCCAGTCGCCGATGGCATCCACTTCGCCGCCTGTGGTGGCATCACTGGCCAGCAGAACAGTTCCGGCGTCGCTTTGCTCACCCCCTGTCCTTCCCGCCTCGTCGACGGCTGTTGGTCATCATCAGCATCATCATCATGAAAGGCAAGCCCATCCACCAGCGCCGCCGCCGCCGCAGTGCCAACCCGCAACCACTGCCGCCTCCATTATGGACTCCTCACTTGTAGGTTGTCTGGACTTGAAGGCAAGAAGCCTTGCCTTGACTATCACAAGAACCTAAACAGACGCGAGGTCACGGTGTGAGCTCCGCAAAA